AGTCTCCCCCAGCCAGTGTCCCCCTTCCAGACCCAGTGTTAGTCAGGTAGGATAGCTACTTTGCTCCCTCTTGCTCTCCTCTGTCCCTTCTAGCTTTTTTTTCTCTTTTTGAAAAAACAGCTCTCTGCCCTCCTTGGGCCTTTCTCTTGTTAATCTCTGTCCTTTTTCTCACCTAGGACAGAAAGCTACTAGCCATCTCCACCTCTACCTGTTTTGGGCCTTCACGCACGCAGTTTTCCATTTTCATCCCAATCTCGTTTTTTGCGAAGTAATTGTTTTTTCTTTATTTTCTTTTTTTCTTCTAGTATTTTCCTTCTTTTTTCTTCACCTTCTCTCCCTAGTTCTATTTCCTACTTTCTTTTTCTTTACTCTACTGTGCTGTTATACTTCTCAGCCCTTACCCTCTGCCTGAAGACGATTAGGTTCATAGTAGCTAACCATCTGAGCATTGTGAGTTTTGGAGAATTCTTTGCACATCATTGTAGTGGTTGCAAAAATAGTGAAATTCCCCTTCATAAATCTGATTGCAAAACTTCCTCTGTGATTCCCAATTTTGAGGACTTAGTAGAAGGGAGAAAATAGCACCAAATTATTTCAAAGTAGGGGAAACACACAAGTTCACAGTCACAGAATCCCTCTCCGACAAACTGAGCAAAAGTGAATACATTACCAAATGACTAAAAATTGAAGAAAAGCCTCAAGGATGAGAGAATCAATCAAGTAGTACATCTCCACCAAGGGAAAAATGTAACCTGTTCTCCAATTAGAGAAAATTTAGAGCATATTACTGAAGTGTCAGAAAAAGAATTTAGAACATTTATGGTAACAAAATTCTACGAGATGCCAGAGAAAAGAGACGTTGAGCTCGAAGAGATGAGGAAGTCCTTCTATGATATGAAAGAAAAATTGGACACTATAAAAAAGAATCGAACGGAATTGTTAGAAATGAAGGCTATGATACAGGAAATTAAAACCTCCTTCAAAAGTAGCAAAAGCAGGTTAGACTATGCAGAAGATCAAATTTTGGAAGTAGAAGACAAAACAAATCACCTAGAAAAATTTTCAAAAATATTGCAAAAACAGCCAAGAAAATTGAGGATAATATATGAGAAATACTAGATACCATGAAATGCCCAAATATATGAATAATTGATATCCCAGAAGGTGAAGAAACTTAAGAAATACAAGGGCATTGATAATCTATGCCACGAAATCCTGGAAGAAAACTTTCCAAGTCTAGAGAGGCACTCAAACATCCAGACCCAAGAAATACACAGAACCCCAAGTAGAATCAATCCAAGAAGACCCTCTCCACACCACATTATAGCTAGATTGATCAAAATGACCAACAAAGTCAAGATACTAAGATTGGCAAGAGAGAAATGTCAAATCTCTTACAAAGGCTATCCTATCAGACTAACACTAGACCTCTCATCAGATACAATGCAAGCAAGGAAAGAATGGGGAAATATATTCAAAGTGTTAAGTGAAAAACAATTTCAACCAAGAATACTATACCTGGCAAGATTATCCTTCATATGGGAGAAGAAAATAAAAATGTTCTCAGATAAACAAAACCTGATAGAATTTACCAACTCCAGACCAGCTCTTCAAGAAATTCTGAAAGGAGTACTATACCAAGAAAACTAAAGAGAGACAGAAAGCAATAAGAGAACAAAAAACAACCAGAAATATGGCCTACTTGATGGTAGGGACAAGTCTGGAAATATTGATAATAACATTGGATATCAATGGATTAAATTCTCTGATCAAGAGACACAGACTGGCTGAATGGATTAAAAATAAGGAACCCTCCATCTGCTGCCTACAAGAAACCCATCTCATGGATAAAGACATACATAGACTAAAAGTGAAGGGCTGGAAAAAGGTATTCCATGCAAATGGAAGCCAAAAAAGCGGGAGTCGCTATGCTGATTTCAGACAAAATAGGCTTTAAGACAAAAACCATAAGAAAAGACAAAGAAGGGCATTATATAGTAGTAAAAGGGCTAATTCATCAAGAAGATAAAAATTATTATCTATGCACTGAACTCAGGAACACTCGAATATGTAAAGGAAAGACTGCTAGATCTAAAAAGAGAGATAAACTGTAACACTATAATTGTTGGAGATCTCAATACCCCATTATCTCCTTTAGACAGGTCAATGAGACAAAAAATAAGCAAAGATATTCAGGACCTAAATGATACCATAAATCAGATAGACTTAATAGACATCTATAGAACTTTTCACTCAAAAAAAACACAAAATATACATTTTTCTCAGCCCCACATGGTACTTTCTCAAAGATTGATCACATGATAGGGCACAAAATCAGCCTTTACAGATTCAAAGGCATAGAAACTATATCCAGCATCTTCTCAGACCACAATGGAATTAAACTTGATATTAATTAAATAATCTACTTCCTAATGATTCCATGACTACTGCAGATATTAAGATGGAAATCAAAAGATTCATGGAAACTAATGATAATGAGTACACAAGTTTCCATAATTTATGGGATATTGCACAAGCAGTCATAAGAGGGAAGTTCACAGCAATTAGTGCGCACAAGGAAGCGATGGAAAGCTGGCAAAAGGACAATCAAACATTATGTCTCAGGAAATTGAAAAAAGAACAACAAAAAATTCCAAAAAGATGCCAGGAGAAAAGAAATAATACAGATTCAAGCAGAAATAAATGAAATAGAAAATAAGCTAAATATATATAAAATAAATTAAAGCAAAAGCTGGTTCTTTGAAAAGATAAACAAGATTGACACACCATTACTCAGACTAATTAAGAGAAAGAAACAAGATAAGTCAAATCTGCAACAAATCAGGCAACATTACAACAGACATAACAGAAATACCAAACATCATTAGAGGAAACTATGAGCAACTCTATGCCAACAAAGAAGAAAACCTGGATGAGATGGACAAATTCCTGGACACATATAATCTACCAAGATTGACTCAGGAAGACACAGAAAGCCTGAATAGACCTATAACAAGCAATGAGATTGAATCAGTAGTAAATAATCTCCCAACAAAGAAGAGTCCAGGCCCCAATGAGTTCACTGCCAAACTTTACAAAATTTTTAAAGACGTAATGCCCATTCTACTCACACTGTTTCTAGAGATCCAAAAGGAAGGAACTCTTCCAAATTCATTCTATGAAGCCTTCATAACCCTTATTCCCAAAACAGATACTTCCTAACCATATTCAACAGCATATAAAAAAGGTCATTCATGGGAACCAGCAGTTAGCGTAATGGCTATGTCGCTGGACTCCCACGTAGTCGACCACGGTTCGCGTCCCGGACCTGGCGGCTTAAAACTCACGCCAGGCACGTGTGCGTGCATGCCCAAGATCCTGAGAG